AGACAGAACTGAAACCTTTAAAAACACAGTTTCAACTGGGCATGGTGCTACTGAGGCAGGAGGACGATTGTGAGTTTGAGACTTGCGTAGGGTACAAAGTGAGCTCAAGGCCGGACTGAATTGCATAGGGAGACCCTGTCTCAAAAAAGACAAACAAACAAACAAAACACACACAGTTTCATTCTAATCCCTGCACTACTGAATCAGATTTAAATGCCGGCTATTCACAGGTTCCATTTCTGCAGACTATTTACACCTCCCATTTCTATCTGCTTCCTGACCCTGCAAGGAAATATGGCACCTACAACCTGGAAACGATTGTTCAATAGGCAATGCATCAATATGATGTTTTTAACTCTTTACATTTAATGATTATGAAGATTTTGCAATTATTCAACCATTTTAAATTTTAATTTAAATATTGTACACATGGCTAGAAAATTATTTCCTTAGAATAAAAAAAAAATATTTGGCAAGAGAAGCAACAGTCTCCTTTCACTCTGCTACTCTAAGGTAACCACGTTTAACCATTTCATTTTCAGGTTTCAAATGTGAATAGATATTTCTAATAACGTTTATTTTTCTACTTTTTTCACTTATCAGATTCAGACGTTGTTTTCTGAATCCCTGCTCTGCATGATTAGAACTTAGATGACTTGCTCAACATCGTTTCCTTCTGTGTCTCCTCTCAGCATGCTTTTCGGAACGTTTATAGTTTGACCAATAGACCTCTATCAATTTTGCAAATTCAAGTCTCAACGTTTGTCTCTATTTTTTAATTATAGGAAGCTTCTTCTGAACCATATTATTTTAAATATGAAGATGGGTACACTCCTAGGCTTTCATATCTAGTCTCATAACTTATAATTCTCTAACACTGTGAACTTTGTTTTGGTCTCCTATGCAGTTATCACATTTTGTCTTCCCTGTAATCACAGTATAGATGAAATATCTATCAAGTGTTTTATATTTAGTTTATAGACTGATTTGACAAGTAGAAAATGAGTGATTTCATTATCATGGTCATATTTATATTCTTCTTGGGAGCTAAGTGATGGACCTAAATGTAGTCCTTTCCTGTCTAAGTCCTCTACCGTAATACCTGTGCATTCAAAAGGACTGTCACTAAAATTTGAATGAAATATTTTTGTATATATCATTATTACCTTAACCAGATCAAATTTTTTCTACAGTCTTAGTCATTCTATACATCAATGTTATTTATCTCCCTTTTTAACATAGTAGATTCATTTAAACTGCTACATAAAATAAAGCATAAAATTTGTTCATTTTAATGAGACACCATGATATTCTGATACATGTGCCCATTGTGTGATGTTATATTGTGTCATTTCTTTATGTTGAAAACTTTCAAAGCCCTTTCTTCAGCTTTTCAAAATGTGTGGGACATTGTTGACACCTTTCGGTCACCCTGCTATGCAGTTACCAGAGGATACTGCTCCTAACTGTAATGTAGTAGTTATTAATCAGCCTCTCCTCTCTTCCCCTCTCTCCCCAGACTCTAATAAGCAACTTTTATGCAATCAGACATTTTTGATTCCACATATGTGTGAGATTATATGGTGCTTGTCTTTCTGTACCTGGTTTATTTCCCGTAGCATGATTTCTAGTTCTATCTGCCCATTCTGTCTATTAGTGACAATACTATATTCTTTTAATGCCTGAATAACAGGACATCATGTATATGTCCCACATTTTCTTTATCCACTCATCAGATGATGTATTGAAGGTTGTTCTCATCTCTTGACTATTGTGAGTGGCACTGCAACAAACACAGGTGCTCAGATATTTTGTCAACATATAGGTTTCATATTTGTGAGTATGGTACATACCTAGTGGTGAGATGGCTAGACCATGTGGATCATGTATTAATTGCACGGTTAAGTTTTTAAGGAACATCTTTAGTCTTTTCCATAATGGCTACACTTATCTACATTCCCATAAACATACTGCTGAGACTTTCCTCTTGGAGCTGACTGAGCATTCTGGACCAAATGTTTACAAACCCCATTGCACTTCTTTTAGTGAGACAGGAGGTCACTGCCTCCTTGACCCTGTGTCTTCCATTGTTTTGGCTTACTCAGTTATTTTGCTGTGGTCTATCCCCAAGTAACTTCTTAAGAAGGAGTCATTTTAGGTAAACTTGGAAAGTTTTCATATCAGAAAATGTAGAAGTGCCATCACCTTCTGATCTTTATAAACCTAACAGCTCTGATCATTGGCTTTTAGCACTGAGAATGGGTAACCACAAACATGCTTTAGTCTCATCATTTTGGTTTGTTTGTTTGTTGCTCTGTGACAAGCTCTTACTCTTTCTCTGACAAGTTCCAATTTCAATTTATTCTTGATCTTCTAATATTTGGCAGTAATTTTGTTAAGAAATTTTTTTAAAAAAAATCATATGCTATGTCCTTCTAACCTGAATATCCAGGTTTTATAAATGAGAAAAATCTCTATAGAATGTCTTTGAAATTGGTCTCTATGTTGACTTTCTCCTATTCTGGAAACGCTCTTTAAAAGTTGGAGCATCTAGATGGATCATATCTGCCTACATATATTTACCTTATTTTCATTTTTATCTTTTCAGTTTAAATTTTTTTTATTTCTCAAACTCACTGATTTTTAAACATATTTTTAATTGTCAGTAGCTGTTTTCTGTTTTCCTTTGATAGCCCACAGTATATATCATACAAATATCTCTGAAAATGCTAAGTTTTTCTGAGGTTTCCTGAATTTTTTCTCTCTTATTGGAAGCCTGTTTTTTTCTAAGTTTTTGTCTGGATCAACCTCACTTTAAATTTTTGAAACTATTTGGTCTCCCACGGTGTTCACTACTTTTTTAAACTTTGAACAATAATCTCTCTGGGAGCTGTGTATTCTTCACATGTTTAAAATGTTCAGGGTCTATGTCATTGCTCCAGACCTTCAGTACTCATGTTTGTCACCCTAAATCCTTTCAAGGAATGAACACAGCAGTGTTGTTTTTGCATAGATGCAGGAATGCGCGTGGGCTTGATTGCTCCTAAAGCCCGTATCTCTCCCCACACCCTTTGTGCCTGTCTTGCTGAGTCCTTTCCTTCCCTTCGTCAAGGAAGAGCCTCTCCCCTGGGCGGTTCCCTCCTCTTCGTAGATACTGGTGCAGTTTGTGTCATCCAGGATTTCTAATGACCATTGCCCATCATCTCCTCCCCCTAGAAATTTCTTAAAACTTCTCCAACATAGGTTTTACACAGTTTGCCTTCCGTTTTTAGTTTTCCATGTTTCACTCCTTTATTATGACTTCAATGAGAAATGCAAAAGAGATACAAACACGTTATTCCATCATTTTAGACCAGAATTAATTTTCTCATGTTTAAGAAAACTATCACACATGTTGTTGTGTAGAGTTTTGGCAGAGGGGACAGACATTCCTTTACATTTATTTCAATCTACTTAACACATCTTTCACGCTCTTATCGTCTGTTTATTTAGAGTGTTCACATAGGACACCATTAAAGATCGTATTACTTTCACTTATTGTAGATTCAGATCATATACTTAACTACATCCATTTGGAATACATTAATACTTTCTAGCTCAAACTGATACTGTTTAAATCATATATTTTTATCTGTTTATAGCAAATTGAACTGATATATCCCTAGGTTTACACCCAATGTCTTGATAGTCAAATATAGATAATACCATAAAGTCTTCCACCCTCGTTTACAGGTTTGAAGAAATTATAAAGTAATTTGATGTATAATGATGCCATCACGTTTAGTTTCCTTCACAAAACAGAATAAGCAAATTCAACTGAGACTGCATAAAGTGCTGGAGGACTTTGTAGTTATTACTGAAGGAATAACGGAAAATATGTTATCACCCATTTTCTTCCTAACTGCACAGATCAAGTATCTTGCCAAGTGCAAATTATTCTTATGAGAAACACATATAGAAAAAAATCAGTCAAAATATGTTCTAATTTAGTTTATTCTCCTCACATTCAACTAAGCAGAATGGAGCCAGTAGAAACTAACTAGAGATTTATAAATTTTAAGAATAAAGAGAAGATAGAAGAAGCAACACAAATAAAATTTTAAAAATTAAGAATAAAAAGTGAAAAATGAACAAAAAAAGTATTTCTTTGCTTTGATCACAGGTAAACATTGATTATAGGAAGGCAGATTAGATTTCCTAGCATGTGTAATCAATTGCTTTAAATGGTACTCTTTTGAAATCTCACAAAAATGCTCAGGTTTCTGTTTGATTTGGGTTTGGCCATGTATAAAGTCCAAACTATTCCTAAGATTTCATTTTCAGCTGAGACTGTAAGAACACAACTTATTCAAGAATGTCACCAGTTTTGTTTTTTATTAAGCATTGCTTTTGCACACATATGCCTGCCTATTGCATTAGTGTCAAAGAGCCTGAGATTTCAGAGCTTTGCTCCTTGCATACCCCTGACTGCTCTATTTGGCCCTGTTCCTATTTACCCCTCAGCACTCTGCCTTTTCCAGGTAGATTATGACAATACTTTGTTATGTTCTGTAAGGATATTTTTCACAAACATAAATTTACAATCAGCTTGAGGATTTCTTTCTGACATATAATTTATAAATCATCACAAAGTGTAGGGGAAGAGAAGGGAATGGTTGCTAGTGATCAGATACACAGGTCAATGGGCAATTTATTTAATTTTTCTGATTTCTTAGAAGAAACAGGTCTTGAGTTCAGATCATGATGACTTCTCTCACTAATTTCTTTCCAGATTACAAAAATCATTTCCCACTTAAGATTTAGAAATTGAAGAAACAGCTACTCATGGTTCAAATTATGATTAAATGCATGGCAGTTGATATGAATGATCACTCATTCAAAGTATGGAATATTCATTGCATGGAGTTATTTCTGTCTGATGGTCCCCTTGTTCTCGGTCTGAGGATGTGTGTTGGAAGCACAGTCCTTCACTAAACATGTGTGTGTTTCTCTGCTTTCAGCGTGTGGCAAGCTGATGAAAATCACTGGCCCAATTACAGTCAAGACGTCTGGAACCCGATTCGGTGCTTGGATGACAGATCCTTTAGCATCTGAAAAGAATAACAGAGTATGTTGCTTGCACAAACGCCTTTGCTTGGGCTTGTTTTTACTTACTCTTATTCTCCACTGGACTCGTCATTTTTCTCAGAGATACTAGTTTTAACTTGAATGGCATTATATTGTTTGCAAATGTTTTTATTTGACAATACTAATACATCTAAAGAGATACAGCAAACTCATTTAGTAAAATGCAAAATTCCATTCACTAATATGATAAGTCTAATTTCTGTGATTTGACTCTTGTTTTATGCTTGGAAATTGCTAATTATAGGTCCATAGCATTCCCTGGATACTGTCTATAATATATCCTGAATATAAAAAGAAAAATCACTAAATAAATAAAAACTCAAGGGTTGACCTATTCACTAAATAAACTAATATGAACCTATACACTAAGGACAATTTAAGAACCAACGACACTAAAATTGGAGAAGGGGTACTTTATAAGTTAGAGATGCCCACGTTGTGTAAATCAATAAATTGGAAATTTATCATACCTATGTTTGTGTTCTATGATTTATATTGAAATCTTAATATATTCATTATCATAATATATTCATTATTATAGTATATTCATTCTAATATATTCATTCATTATAATATATTCATTCACTATCATAATATATTCATCCTAATATATTCATTATATATTAAAATTATCAAAGGGGGCTGGGAATTTAGCTCAGTGGCAAAGCGCCTGCCTGGCAAGCGCAAGGTCATGAGTTCAATTCCTGGTACTAGAAGAAAAACAAAAACAAACAAACAAAATTATCAAGAGCTTCATCCAAATGAGATGTTATGAAATTAATAAGTTTGTTTTGTTAAAAAATAGTTTTACCTATAAGCTGATCAAATGAATAAATATTACTGGAAGGTTCTGTGATACTCATAAAGTATAAATAAATTGAATATATTATATTAGCCCATACATTTTTTTTTTCAAATCAAGGGATGGAATGAAAATACTTTGCTTATATTTTTATAGCTATCAATTGATCACATCAATCCATCAGGTGATGTGATTTGCTTTGGTATGTTTGGTCCACTCAGTGATATGCACTAAATAGACAAAAGTAAAAATCAAAGAAATAAAAAACAAAGAGCAGATCAACTTCAAAGCAGTAAATTTCATTGTGTTGTATCTGTAGAGACCATACCAGTATTTTCACAAAACTCTACAATTTTACCACGTTGCCGCGGGGCAGCGGTACAATTATTTGCCTTTGTGAGCCAGAGAATTGTGACACTAGCATTCATTCTCTCTCACTGTCTTTATTTTGGAATTCTCAAAAAAGTTCAAGATTTACTTAATCCATTTGTTTTTTCCTTCTTCTCAGGTCTGGTATATGGACAGCTACACTAACAATAAAATTGTCCGCGAATACAAGTCCATCGCAGACTTTGTCAGTGGGGCTGAATCACGGACATACAACCTCCCTTTCAAGTGGGCAGGAACTAACCACGTGGTCTACAATGGCTCCCTGTATTTTAACAAGTATCAGAGCAATATCATCATCAAATACAGCTTTGACGTGGGGAGAGTGCTCGCCCAGCGCAGCTTGGAGTACGCCGGCTTTCACAATGTTTACCCGTACACATGGGGTGGATTCTCTGACATCGATTTAATGGCTGATGAAATCGGACTGTGGGCTGTGTATGCAACCAACCAGAACGCAGGCAATATTGTGATCAGCCAGCTTAACCAAGACACCTTGGAGGTGATGAAGAGCTGGAGCACTGGCTACCCCAAGAGGAGTGCTGGGGAGTCCTTCATGATCTGTGGGACACTGTACGTCACCAACTCCCACTTAACTGGAGCCAAGGTGTATTATTCCTATTCCACCAAAACGTCCACGTACGAGTACACAGATATTCCCTTCCACAACCAGTACTTTCACATATCCATGCTCGACTACAATGCGAGGGATAGAGCTCTGTACGCCTGGAACAACGGCCACCAGGTCCTTTTCAATGTCACTCTTTTCCACATCATTAAGACTGAGGATGACACATAGGCAAAAGGGACTTATTTTTATTCACTCAAACACTACCAGGTGTGATAAGATCTATAGGACCCTTTCTTTCTGGTTTTTGGTTATTGTAACTTTTCATCGTTTCTCCAAAGCAAAGCATTTTTAAATTGTAAATTCTGCGTTTCAAAAGACAGCCTAGTCTAAGTGAGTGTGTTAGCAGCACATCTTAACTCCTAAAATTACAAGAACTGTCATGTCCCTGTCATAAAAACAATGCTAAAAAGAGTTTAAGTGGCTAAAGTCATAGCTGTGCAAAAGATTAATGATCTGCCTTATATTAGAGTGAGAGACTAATGGTGGCTTAACTGCATGAATGTCTTTTTTTAAATTCTGTCATTTTTTACTGTCTTTTGCTCCACATCAGGAAATATTTTGGTAGGAATTAGAGTTTAAAAAAAAAAATAGAAGCACTTTCTTCCCATTTATTTCTAAAAAAGATTTAGGGATTTTATTTGTATGGAAAAAGCATATTAATCACTTTGCTGTTAACACGATTCTCTGATGCGGTGCTGTACACTCATTTTCAAATCTCTTGCTAACATTTTCTTGCAATATGTATTTTTACCATTGTAACCACCATTGTGCAATTGTATTTCTTCACTTCTGTGAAAGTAATATTTTTTATAAAATACACTGAAACTTAATCTCAGTAATTATTTGAATCAACTTTCAAGTATTATCCAGAAGGATCTTCCTGACTCAGCCCTTTACATGAGCATTTTCTTTTTTGTAAACTAAAAAGAAAATCAAACTAGATATCTTACATTGAGTCTTTATTTTCTGCCAAGTTTATTTGAATATTGGCATTGGATGGAAAAACTCATTCAGTGCAACCAAGCTACTCTGTCCATTGAAAGCAACCCTGTAGTTACTGGAAACACACAGTTGAGTAGAAAATTTCTGAGTTGACTCTACTCACTTATTAAACACGAACCACTTTTTATTCTTCATGAATAAACACTGCAGTATTTGAACTCCTATTTTACATGCAACTTGCTGTAGTGTAGTTCTGTGTATTATAATTCTAAAAAGCCCAAAAAGCACATGAAAATTCTTAAAAATGAAAACTTCGATAATATCCTCTAGATGTAGATCTTGCACTCCAGACATATTAGCAAGACTTCTATAAAAATCAAATGTATAGGTAATCAATTCAGAAATGACATAGGAAGGAAAGTCCTTTTTACTCTGATTTGCTGTATGACAGAAATAACAGAACTATAAAGGAAAGCTTTAATAATATGCTATGTTACTAATTCCACAACATATCAAACATGTCCTTGAGTTTGAATACATTTTCTATATACTTTTAAGATTTCCCTACGGCAGCTTTATAGAAACTAATAGGAAATAATTTTAAATTTTAAAAATATAGGCTATAACACATAGTATATAACTTAAATTGTAAATGTCTAGTTCCACACATATAAAATACCAAAATTTTCTTTGAAAAATAAGGCCATAATTCAGATAAATCATTGTATGAAGAAATGCTAATATTTAAGGATATTTCATTGTAAATGTAGCAGGTAAAACATCATTTTCAAATATTTCATTGTCAAAATTGTAGGAGTCCATGCCCCAGTCTTGAAAGTGTTAAAGTTTAATAAAGATTTGTGGGGTTTTTTTCTACAAAAAATTTGCATGATTTGATGACCACTCTAGACATTTTTGCAATGTTGTTTTCTCCTCTGAAACATTTCCATAAGCTCCCTACTGCTATAGAGAGGTAGAAGGTTTAGGACATTTATGTGTCATAGTACACATACCACAAAAATAATCAGTCAATGATTTGTATGTAAGTTTATACGAGAAAAGAAAGAAACATTAATTTCAGAAATAAATGGAACTTTTCAATAGATGGCATCTAATCGCTTCTTTTTACTTATTTTTTTAAAAAATAATGTTATGTAGTATCACATACATTCAAAATATGGATGATTACAGCTCATTTGTGAAGTATGCAGTTTGTAAAGCACCTTATTGTGTTCTGTGTAAGGTTCTATCACCATATCCAATTTCCAATGTATGTGCTGCTGGAACAGATGCTATTATTGTCACTAGAAGTGGGAGTAACATCAATTTTCAAAATGTGACATATTAAACATATGCAGCTTAAGAGTATTTTTCTTAATAAATTATTATTAGTTCTGTGCCTGAAATAAATAAGAATTTACTTTCATCAGTTTTTTTAAACCTCCAACAAATAAAATAAATTTTATGAGAGAAGTAATGACTATTTTTAAATCATCCAGATAATCCTACTCAGAAAGTTTTAATCTTAAGTGAACTGTGTAATTGGTATTTTCAGAATTCACCAATCATTAACAATTTCTGTGTCATCCAAATAATAATATGTTTATGGTCTGATTGTGTTTGTGTGTTATTTGTATTTGTAACACTTGAATCACAATGCTTATTACTTGTACCTAAGCTTATATCTATGGGTTCAGACAATGGTAGTATTTCAGTGCATCACAAACATTTGGAAATAAAAGAGAAATAATAGCAAATGTATTACTTACATAAAATCATGAGTGCTTAGTTATGATTCCTATCTCTCCACTCAAAATCATTTCACCATCATAATTAATAGTATTTTCTCTGACAAAATCATATATTCAGAAAATAAGTTAACTTTTCATTAACCTTACTCCTCATAGGAAACCGTTCTTCTCATATGAAACTCACCACAACCTTACAATTGCATATCTTTCAAATAGAAGAATTATTTTCAATATAATTACGTGAATTTGTACATATATTCACTTCAAAGGAACACCAGTTATTTTCCTACAAAGGTAGGTCTTACATATGATAATTCTTAAGCATCATTCTCCTTAAAGAATAGATTTTAAAAAGGTTTCAGGTCTTTTTTTTAACACTCATGATTGCCACATTGTTTCTGTAAATGTTATATTTGAATGCAACTGAGAGTAAAATAAAAAGTATCCCTTCTAGTTAAAGCAATTACAAAAAATATAGCATTTCAGAGTTCCTGAAAGCCAAGCCTTTTCAGAAATATTACGTTTGAAAACAGAATCAAAAATAGCATCTTGCTGACTACATGAGGTAAGTATGATTATATCTTTTGTGACACTTGCTACTTGAGTTTTTGGGACATTACCGAACCACATTAGAGACAGAGAATACACTACCTCCTTGACCATCACGTGGAAAGGGAACCACAAGAAGACCTACTCTGAAGTGGTCTACCTACAGTTAGAATCAGAGTATATAAGCCAAAATTTGGATGCCATAAAATGATATAAAACCTTAATTATCAACTGCTCATGGAGAGAAACTTCCTTCTACAAAGAGACAGAGTCACTCCATATCGTTCAGTTTAGTAGACTCTAATCATACTGACTGAAATCGAGATCATGAAATGGGTTTTGTTCCCAAACTTAATCAAATCCATTACAAAACCACAAGGTAGTACTTTGTCATGATTAATGAATTCGGAGAAGTTCTGGGTCTTCTAATCTCTTCTTTTGAATTATTAAAATTGTACTGGAAGAAATATGATGAAAACAGTAAGATACTGAAGAAAAACTGGTATAAATGAAATCTTTTCCTCATTTTTCTTAGAAATCATGAATTCAATTTATAAAAATCTTTTGAATAAAGAATATAAAATTGTTTGCTCTACTGTTTATCTGATCAGAAAATCCACCTCCAAAGTGAATTTAACAACCTGATTTATCTCACTTACAATTGGAAATTATATGATGCCCTTTATCCATTTTAGTTTATCTGTTCTATCAGGTTCAGGGCAATTTTTTTTTGCGGGGGTGGTTCCAGTCCCAGGAGTCGAACTCACGACCTCCTGCTTGCCAGGCAAGCGCTGTGCCGCTGAGCTAAATCCCCAGCCCCTAGGTTTAGGGCAGTTTTAATCTTGTTGGGAGTCTGTCTTGTGTCCAAAATGTCCACCTAGTTTGGTATGAAACTTCCCTCCTTGGAAGCTCAATTCACCAAGTGTCAGATAAGTTTTCTGAATACAAATTGTTATTAAAAGTGATTTGATATGATATAAAAAATAATGATTTATATTTTTGTCAGGAACACACAATTTTATAACCACAAATGTCTTAAAATATTTATAGATAGAGATATGAAACAATGCAATGATTATGGAGGAGGGTTGCTGTAAGAGGTTTGCTGAAAAACCATACACACACATGCAATTCGGCACTAATTTGCCTCCCCACCAAAGCCACAGTGTGCCCAGAAGAGCTTGCGTCTGTTTTCTAATGATTCAAATATTGCAAGAATATATCACACCCTACCTAAATTGAGATTTGCAAATATTGTCTATCAGCAAAGTTTCACAGAAAATATATGACAAACATTTAACGACAGAACAAGAAATTGATTCAATGAAATGTCAGTTATTTTATTTTATTTTATTGCTGTCTTTTTGAGACACGGTCTTGCTTTGCAGTTCAGGTTGACCTTCAAATCACTTTGTAGCCCAGGCTGGTCTTGAACTCACAGTGATCCTCCTGTCTCAGCCTCCCAAATGCTGGGCTGTTGGTCATTTTAAATTTAAGAATATTATATTTTCATACTGCAGTAACACATTTCCCTCTAGCTGTTTGTCTATATCTTTATTGACATCACATGAATTTATAGACATTACCAACAGGTAATACATAAGCTTTAAAATGTATAACAGTTATGTATTTTTTAAAAAGCATTTTTTCTCTGCTGTGAGAAACTGAAAGTGTAAATAAGGATCAAAATATATAGTAAGTATTGTGAAATAGGAAGAAAATGTTCAAATAAGGCAAGGAACAAGGGAAGGAGCAAGGGGAAAGAAAAAAAGAGAAAAGTATAAACAGTGAGAAAAGAAGGAAAAGATAGAAACAAAGCTTTGCAAATGGAGAAGGGAGGAGGGGCTGCAGGGGGAGGAAGGAGAATGGGAAGAAAAATTCAGTTAAACAATGTACAGGTACAAATTCTCTACGATAAATGCGATGATTATGTATATCTAAAATGTACCAATGAAATCTGATTGAAGAAAAAATTAAAAATGTAGAGTATGATGCATCAAAAGCAGTTTTACATGTAAGAATAACTGAACAAAATAATTATCTAAAAAATAACTAAGTGCTATTAGATGTTCCAGGCGCTAGGCACACAGCTGTCACCAAATTGTCTTCATGTGTTTATGTTTTGGTTGTAACAGGCTAAAACAAAAATTATAAAAAATGACTTCTATTGGATTAACTATTATGAAAGAAATTTTAAAGCTACTTATAATACAGAGTGATTAAATGCTTTCTAGGGACAGGGTGAGGCAGGAAATGATGTTTAGAAGGGTAGTTAGGGAAGAGCTCCTTGGAACAGCACACCATGCTAAATTCATTCAAATAATGAAATATCATCATTTGATCCACATAAAAAATTTGGCATCTTTTTTTATTCCTAGAAACTCATCAATCAAATATTTCTAATTTCTTATGTTAGTAGATTCATGGTTTTGATATATTTAGTTCTTTATCCTGGAGATCAAAGGATAGTTGATACTCATGATGATATTTGCCAAATTTAATGTGTACCAGTGGTTGTTCATTTTCTCTGGAAGAGGATTTGCAAATCTTACCAGATTTTCAAAAAAAGCCATGATCCAAAACATCATTATTCTGTAAATCCAGTCATAATTTGATCACAATGAATTAAATACTATTATTTTTATAACAAGCACTGAATGTCTGTGATCATTCTTGAAGCTGTGAGGAATGTCAGTTTGCTTGTTTACTGAAAGAAATGGGCATTCCAGTATTATCTTTAAGGTTTTTCTCTTTAGAACTGAAGATTAAATTGTTCCCAATTAAAAGCTCTGAAGAGAGTTTTATTACATTTGGACTGTATCCAGTTTTGTTCTGTGATGCAGTTTTTTAGCACATTTCTGCTACATTTATTGACCAGAGAGTTTCTATTATAGGGCCTGTCTTACATTTATTTGAGATTGGAGAACATTCTCTTCTAATTCCAATGCAGCCTTTTGTCAGCACTGTTAGACCCTAACTGGATTAGAGTAGATGCAGTATGCTTCAGCAAATATAAATGCAAAGCCTTTTCTAAAATGAACTATGGAAGCAGCAATTAAGCAGAAAAGAAAGGTATTAACAGTTCCCTTCGATTGGAAACTGTTGTAGTTGACATGCATATGATCTAGAGTACAAATTCAGAATTTTTTTTTAAATTTCTTATTTAAAAACACAACACACAAAACTCCAGCCATGCTTGTACAGATAGAGTCATGCTGAGTGAGAAAATGAAACTGCCTGTAATGTTTAGCTTTACTTTTTTCCTCACAGAGGACTTGAAAAAATCCATGCATTATATTCCATTCCAGCATTAACAAAATATAACTAAAATAAATATTTTCATTCTCTCTAATGTCTGTATTGACATCTTTCAAAAGCTACTCTTAGAATGCAAAGCATCATTAGAAAGTAGGTATATCATTTCTTACATTATCCAATTTTTTGTAAAGATAAAATTGAATAATATAAGTCAATGCCTAATGCAGATATTTGTTCTCAACAATTACCTTCCAACTTGATTGGTAACCCATAACCCGCTGTCCTCAGCTCAGTCAACCCACTGGCCTCCATCACCACATCTAGAATACCTTGCTTGGAAATGCATCTTTTATTTACTGACCTCTGATTCTTTCCTGTTTGATCAAATTTTCTTTTTCCTTTGACGAAGTACCACTTCCATGAACATGGACTTTATGAAGTGTTCCTTGGTTAAGAAAGCCCTTATTTTTCAAGACACAAGAAATAGTACAGATCTTCTTATCCTTCAAAATTTATATTGGAGATTGATCTCTTACTGTTTGATTAAGTTCCATTTCATGTTTCGCAATTCACATAAAATATCATCTCATTTCTGAGGGCCGTTCTAAGGTCATGCTTTTGTGTGCCAATTGTACTGTATTTACATTGTCAAAATTATCCCTTTGGATTATAGCAATTTGTTCCCTTCAGATTACTGTGGAATCAAGACTGGGGTCAATGAGTTATTTTCTTTATATACTGGTCCGAAGCACTGTGACCGACACAGAATAACATCACAGTAATAAAGGGGTATAAGACTCAATGGTCACATCATAAATAACGAAATCTCTATTGGATTCTGGGAACATCATGAGAAATTAAAATTTGCAAATTTGTTTGATTGAAAATAAATTTCTATTTCTTATTAAAGTAAATTCTATTTCTAATTAAAATACATAAGAAAGTGTCAAAAACTTAAATATGCTTAATGCTTTCTCTTAGATGAATTTTCTTTTACTTCTTGCAGTGATGAAGTATCTTCAAAGAGTTCCCATACTTATTTTCCTTTATAAC